AAATTTACCATTAGTTGCACAAAATCCAGGTAAAAAGATTGCTCTACTTCCAGAAAAATTCAGGAGCATAAATCCGTAGATCCTCAGAATATTAAATAGAAAATGCTCATTAATTTGTAATGAAATAAATGTAGTCCTTCAAAAAGAATGTAAATAAAAACAATAACAAAAAGTAGAGGGTAAATTAAAATAGAGAAAATCCAAGAAATTTGTATGATAACACGATCCGAGTTACACGGGGGAGCAAAATTTAAAATCACTTGCACAAAATCGAAGAAAAGGGTTGCTCTTCTTCCAGAAAAATTAAGGAACATAAATCCACAAGCGCTCACAAAATTAAATACAAATGCCCATTGTTTGAAATGCAAGAAATGGTGCACACAGTTAGTTCTTGTCCTGGCTTAAATTTCCAATTAACAAGTTGAAAATTCTAAACGCGAACAAGCAAATCGTACACATAAGCAACAAAAGAATGCAGAAAACATCACAAGACAAAAGTTCTCCAACAAGAAAAACAATAAAAGGCTAAAGTCTAACCAAGAAACACGTTTTCACATGCATGAACACACAATAAAGATAATGGAAAAAATATTTTGACATACAAAAGGGTAAATAGCAAAGTACCGAAGATCGCCAGCCAAAATCACTTCAATTTTCAAGAATTGAGAACATTTCAAATTTTGCTTCTAAAAAACAGATCTGAACTTGTACAGAATGAAAGAAAAATGACTCAGCGGAAGCGTTTTATGGTTTTTTAGAGACAGAAATCGGCTTCAATCGCAGGTTATAGAGACAATCTTGGGAGAAATAAAATGAAAATAGAGAAGAAAAAAGGAGAAGCACGGATGGTTGTCTCCGAATATTGATTTCGAACGAAAATAAGCAGTTAAAAAAAAAAAAATCATAAAATGTATTCAAAGTAAAAGAGTGCGTAAGAACGTTACGGATTGAGGTTGGAGCAGGGGATCGATTTTGGCTAGAAAAATTATTTTCATGCAGCATGGGTCCAGCAATTCTGTAGAATTCCAATAATTGCAAAAAATGCGGAGATGAGCCAAAAAAAGCAGCACGTGCGAACGTCGTACGCGTATTGGGCATTCGTTGTTCCACCGGAAAAAAGGTTACTGAGGGAGTATATGTATTAAAAATTCAATGTCCTACAAATTTCGAATGAGTCACAAATTTATAATTGTTAGGTGACTAATTAATTAAAAGGATATGATCGGTTTCCATCAATGGAAACTATAATGGACTCGAATTTATAGAAACGTGTCTCGTTCAAAAATTTGTGATGAGACTCATTTTTGTGAGTGTTGGGCGAGCATTTAAACACAATTTGGTCGGTTTCTATCATTGACAGCAAAACTATAATGAACTACCATTGCACGCTCAACACATGGGATCGACTCTCGCAACTTTTGTTGTGGTAGTCTTTTAAAATTTCTTAGAGATGCATTTTTATGGGTGTTACATGTCTAGTTAATAAATAATTGTTCAGTTTTCGTTAATGATAGCACAATTATTTGATCATGCATTTATTGTCAACCAAACAGTAAAACCCTAATATCATAAATTGATTTTTGTTCGTATGTTTGTAAAAGAATTTGAATTTCGACATTTTTACAATAT